GTTATCCTGGTTCGCCTACAAAGACAACGGCCTTGTACGATCGCCAACTAGACGGCTAGTAGGCCTACTGGCGCGAGCTCCTGTGGTACGGCACTTGATGATTACGAAAATGTCGGCATTGTGGTAGACCCTTCATATCGGCACTGAGTACAGGGTTAGCCACGGCGAACCCCGAACTCCAGTGCAAGCGTAACTATATCATATCTATTATATGGTCCCTCCACCGGATATGAAAACGAGCAAGGTCAGGCTGCGGAGGTATATACGAGCTTCTGCTCTGTAGTCGGCGAACGAATTATGACTCCTGTACAGCACGGCAGGCTAGGGTACGCCCTTGTAGAGTGAGGCCTGGCCATCAACCAGCCCTGCGACAGCAGTACGCGGCTAGCGGGCGATCTGGTAGACGGGAGCCAACATTCGGGATTGATTTTCCAGGTCTCAATCGCATCTTGGCTTGATGGTACGCGTATCATCATATCATGGTATCCAAGATATTCATGTCCACAGATATATCGCTATAGGGCGCTAGAGGTTGTATTTCTCAGCTGTGTGATCCAACTCGTGTGAATGGTTGCCTCAAACAAACATGCAGCAAGTGCCCCTATTTCCTGGGCTGAAATCCGTGCTCAACCTCTTTTCCAAGCGTACTATCCACCAAGTCCACCCACCACGGGAATCCATCGTGCGATTCCACTCACTAGAAGCCGTCGGCCGCCAAGTGGACAATGCTTGGGCGCCATCTCTCTTAAACCACGGAGCATTTCCTATTCAACATGCTGAATACTACCTTATATGCGGTGAGCAAGAATGAAATTATCTGAGGTTTATCGCGGCTGTGCTCACTGAAAGAGCCTCGACTCCTGTGTCGTGCCTAAGACCTCATTACGCTACTTGTTATCATTGCCCCAAGACACAAATGGCCAAATACGCGCCGGCATGTTCAAATTTGACTACCAGCGGGATGAAATCGCTAGGGCTTGACTCAAGTGCACCTAGTGACCACCTGATACGTAGCTCTAGACAGGTTTTCGTACGAGTTTATGACGATCTCCCAGTCTGACAGCCCGGGAATATCTTGGACCTAACAAAAACGACTGACTCGTGTGCTGCACCTCTTGACCTCCCCAGACTCGTCAGCAGCAAGCTCTGTGTGGGGAACGCTCTATAAGGAATAAGCTGAAGGTCTTTAGATCAAGATTGGTCGCCCAAGTTCAAGCTCGACATTGGATAGAAGCTCTGGACCAAGACGTTTTGCCTTGGGGGTGTGCAGTGTCGATCGACAAGGTCAAGCCCTACTTGCCGCTACATACTGACACAGACAAGTCGCTGTCATGTAGCTACTGGGGTCTTTGTTGCGGGCGTAGATACGGTAGTTTCTGCAACCTTTCCAGCCTGTAGGATCTGTGCAAATCGATATGTCGTGACTGGCCTCGCGATGCGTTGCTCTGCTTGGAGAGCGTTGACTCGGTGGGCTATAGCGTTGACTAGAGATGCATGTGTGTGCAGTTGATATATGACCATCCACTCGGATATTATGGAGGACGTAAACAATTGGAAGGGTGTAGTTTCGTGCCGGCAGGTCGATGCTGCTCCTTGGGTATCAACGTCGATAATGAGGGTAGAGTTTAGCATCGCGGAGTCGGAGACGTGGAAACACCCTCTATACATATGCCGCTGACACAACAGTGGCAACAGGGTAACGTCTGACTTTAGAATGAGAACACTTCAGCACTTGCTGATGCTGTACTAACACCCGCTGTAAAAACGAAACATCAATTAACCTGGGTTCTGAAATCCTGTATGCCACTCGCCACAGGTTGTACAACTAGACTAGATAAAGATGTCTACATAGCAAGAAACCGTTCTAACGCCATCGCTTTTTATCCCCTGTACCTCTCCACCCTGGGGGCATGTTCGGTACAGACGGGAATGCAAGTCTCTTCTCTCCCATTTAGACGACAGCTCCATTATGTGATGTGAAGCAACCATCCCCAGGGAGCCTTGTGTTTTAGCAATACTTCATGTACAATAGAAATGCGAGTCCTTTGACTATATTGATGAGGGAGCCCTGTCCTTTTTCCAGCCCCTGTATCGCATGTTCTCTTCAATGGCCCTCCAGATCTGCTCTACGATCTCCTTATCACGGAATCGCGAAGCATCATGGCCCTCTCCTCGCCATCGGTCAATGCCAGTGGACAGAACGCGGTGACCCCAGTTACGGATATTATCCGGAGCTGACTCTCCTCGCCAGCCGACATAGACGCCCAGTGTGTGCTTGAAGAGCTCGTTGGGGTCACTCCATTTGTAGTTCTTGAACTGCCAGGTCTGGCCAGTGGTGAGAACTGCCACGATTCTGTTCCAGTACTCAGGCTTGAACGCTTCAGGGCCCTCTACAAGAATGAAACGCATTGGACGATTTGGGTCAATGGAGGGGATGATGCGCTGCACATGAAGCATGTTGCTCATCGCACCACCTGCATCAGTAGGCACAAACTTGCCGTCCTCAAGGAACGATCGAGCATTCGATAGGCGAAGCAAAGAAGAAGCAGAGGGAGATAGGAGAATAATAGGGTCTGGTCGTCTTGTAGGAGGTTTTTGGTTAAGAGCGAGTGATGGGTTAGTGGGGATGCTGGAGCTAGACTGGTATTTCTTCTGGATGAAAGGCGCAGCAAGTTTGCGAACATGGGAGAAGTCCTAGCGAGGTCAGACAAAACTTAAGGATTTGTCGGGTTGCAAAGACTTACCGTAGGTTTCACGCCTCTTAACACTGTGTTGCGATCGCCCATCTTTCGTTCGCTATTGTAGATACCAGCCAGTCTCGGGTCCATGGTACCACGACCAGATCGCGACTGAGCAGTTGAAGTCACTGCGCCCGTCTTCGCAGCTGCGGTCGCGCCAGCAGCCGCCGCATCTTTATCACTAGGTAGAGGCTTGATGTACTCGCTCTCCTCGCTAGCACCCTCAAGCCAGGTAATCAGATCCAGACGCTCAATGAAACCTAAATTTTGAACCTTTCCCGAGCCACCAGCGACTGCCAGTTCTTCATTGAGCTTTGTCGCAGAAGCATTGTATTCAGGGATAGCGACTTCGCGGTTCAGCCAAGCAAAGTAGATACTGCGCAGGTCGACGGGCTTGTCTTGCGACACAAAGCGCGTCGGGTTGTCGATAGGAACAGCAACATCCCGATCGGGGAATCGCAAGTACGTCGCCTGGGATAGAGGAACTTCGGTCGCAGTAGCATCAGCTGATGCCGTGGGGATGAAGGGCGCGTTGGAGGAGATGGATTGGCGAAGGAGGACGAGTCCGTCGAGGTCGGCGGCGGACGCCATGATGAAGATGGACGCGCGGGAACAGGGAGCACGGCTGAAGGAGACCCTGTATATTTGTGCCGATCAAAAAACACCAATTGACGGATAGTAGAATCTAGATGTTTCGCGATTCGAGAGCCTGACGTGTTTGCTGGTGGTGGAGCTTTGATGAAGTGAAGATGAAAGGCTGAGGCTGAGGCTGCGCCTGGAATTTTGGCAAGCTCACTTAGCTTCACCTATGGCGGGCTGTCATTGGTCGAGCAAGAATGTAGCCAATCAACGATGTGTAACTTCATCTTCAAGTTCAACATCAATTGACAGCAGAGTCAACACCAATCCACGTTCTGTAGAATGATGCGACTGGACGCCCCGTGTTTTGCATTGCAATGCACCAAGCAGATCATGTTCCTGGTGGTGTTGACGTTGATCCGTTATTACCGTCATACCCGGGCTTGACTCGACTACCTAGGTAGGTACTCGACTGCCCTAGGGTAAATTACTCGGGGAGTATTGCTAGTTAGAACACTATTGAGCAACATTTCATGTGACTGTACAGTAGTATTGAATGTCACCTACTACGTAACAATTCGTCTATGCATGTTTGGCGTGCTTACTGTGCATGGAAATGTTTTAATTGGTAAATCATCATGTTTCTCTTGGGTAACTTGTAACTCTGTTTCAACTGCCGATATAGCCACAACACCATGAAGATGCAGCTAGAGAACTTGCATGTAAGACACGTCATAGAGTACAAAGCAGTGTTTCGTTCGTTGGAGAGGTATGCAAAAAAATTCTATCAGATTGCCAATACCGTCTAGACTTGCCAATTCATTCATAGATAGCCCACCTCCACCTTCTCGTACTTGACCCCAGTCTCCAACGTCTGAGCACAAATCCTCTAAAACCCAGGGATCACATACACTAATCCTCGACGGATAACTTACTTAAAACCCCCATGCCCAACTCACTCAAAGTACAGATACTTACTATCGATCTAACTCCAACTTCTAGAAGCCGTCGCCCAACCATGATTTCTAGTCCGCATCTAGCCATACACCAGCACTTTGGCGCCACGACTACCCTTCACGCCCCATCCATCTCTGACTCTGCACAGCCAGAGTATGACATCGAAGACCCTTGGGAGCCTGGCACGTGCGGGCGAGCTATAACCGTAAACTGCGATCCCTCCCCCGGGATATGCGTTAGCCTTCTCAACGGCGTTAAGCCAGTTCGTGCAGATCACTTACTCGCCCCGGCTGTTTGGTCTGGTGAACTCCTAGCCCGATGAGTAATACGACGACATCCCACGCTGAGAGGGCGTCGGGTTCCCAGATCTAGTAAGAGTATGAGAAAAGGGGCGCTATTCATAACGAATTACACCACAAAGATACCACGGAGGCCGCCGCCTCATCTTATAGCGCGTGGCAAAGGCACCGCCATGAAACAGCAAAAGAGCCTTTGTTCACGGATATTGAATGGGAATAGACATATTTCCACACGTGAAAACCTTGCTCATAAAGCCACAAGGTATTGTACTTCTTGTTGTATGTACACCTAGCCGTATGCCCCTATTCGACTTCATCCAAGACCTATCCCAAAAGATGTGTGCAATTCCGCTTCCATTCCGCGCAATGACTCCGTCAACGCCAAATCAACCCTGACCTCCAACGGTTCCGTAGTACTCAAATACATCTATATGCCAAAGACAAGCTTCATGCGCTCATACGTGTAGAATGCGACCGCCGCCATTGGGAACACCTTGACGTATCCAATGGTGAGGCCAACAAAGAACCCGGGAATACCCCTCTCTCGGAAGATCATACCAGCGGTTTCTCCTATCCTCAGTCGACGGCCGTCGCCAACGGCACCGCCAACTTGCATCCGTCGTCGAATGACTTCAAGAGGGTATGATGCCGTTTGAGAGATCAAACCGGCGATTCCACCAGCAGTGAGCTCCGCCCATGATCGTAGAGGGGCTGGTTTTCCTTCAGGGTGGTTTGCCTTCTTCGGTAGTGTCGTGTGCTTCGCAAACCGTGGCGATCGGAGGATATCACCAACAGTATCGTGAGTTAAGAAAGACATGCCCGCATATGGAAGCATGCCCATGACAGTGGGAGCGAAACCTCGGTAAAAGTTGATAAGTCCTGTTTGAGGAGCAATGGCCCCAACTGTCGCTGCTGTCGCTTCTGCTGCAGCAGTCACCGTCGCAGGCGCATTGGGGAGCCGAGTCGGGGTTGTTTTCTGAACGGGTTGCTCGTTGTAAATCTGACGACATATTGATGACAAAGAAGAGTGGCCGTCACGTTTAGTCTCGAAAGCAAGTCGTACTCTCATAACTTCTAAAGGATACGTGAAAAAGACGGAGGTGACACCAGCCAAACTTCCACTGAGCAGTCTTCTCATTGGTGTCTCATGGTGTTTATCGGGGATAATAATGGCTCGTATTTGTTCGTATGCGAGGAATTTGATACCGGCGTAAGGAAAGATTCGTAGTAAAGTCGCTGAGTGTCCACGGTAAAGTCCAGTGATGCCTTCATATCTATGGATGTCCTTCATAGCGCTTGCGACACCAACCCATGATCCTGTATATTTTGCGAATCGTGGATTGCTGGCTTGGAAGAGGATCTTCACTCGGTCCAATGGTGCGACGACAGTTTTGCCCTATTTCAAACAGTCAGAAACTTCTGCACACCTCTGTCTTGGACTCTGACAAACTCACAGCGCAGCCGGCTAAACCACCCGCAACTCCAGATTTCCAGACATATTCGAAACTGTTCATTTGTGCCTTTGGTGCTACTGCTTCCTGGTCGGTAGGACACACAGGAGGCTCCTTTGGCGACTTGCTGAGGGTATGAGAAGAGACATGGCTCTGAATATTTCTATTGCGCGCAACATCGGCCATTGAGGTATGCTCCATCTGAGCAGCGTCGGCAGAGGACATGGCCCCGAGGCTCGCAGAAGCACGTGCCTGACCTTGTTGAACGGGTTCGAGGCCTACGGGCGCGACATGCCGTGGCAGAGTCGAATGGGGATCGGTATTCGAAGCCAACGCGACTGAGGTATTTCGGTTTCGGTGGTATCTTGTCAAAAGGTTGGAGGAGTAGAAACCGGTTTTGCGGGGAGGATGAAGAAGTTCGGATATGGGGAGGATTTTGGAGATGATACCGGCATGCGGCGCGGCAGAGTTTCCCCGGTCAGAGGCGGCTTGGACGTCATTAAACCGACGCTCAGTGGGCGAATACAGGCCCCCCACTAGTTTTTTTTTACAAGTGAATGACCTAGCGAAGGTGGTCACGCCCGCGGAAATGGAGATCCCCTAGAACCCTAGAAAAATAGAGGAATTAGGCCATCAGGGGTTCAAGACTTGTCACTTCAGTGGGTTAATGCGCTGATAATCCACTGAAAACTTGTCGTTTCTCAGCAGATTCACAGGGTAGGGCATAGCGAGGCTTAACGGTCCCGGTGATCAATAACCGAGCCGAGGTTTGCCGACCATCGCCGCGAATTTATTCTTTCAACCGCGGGTCAAGCAAAAGCCAATCCAGGTGGAAGAATAGTCATCCGAGTCAGCTATGGAGGCCAACGGCCGCAGAAAGTCCTCTGTTCTCTTTGAGAGCCCGGACAAGAGCCTCATTGTTCTAGACATCCCCACGTCTCTAGAAGAGAGCCAGGTTCTCCCGTCTCAGGTCCCCCGCCGCCGCATCGTCTCCGCATCGCCCCCCGCAACTCCGTATCCGACCCCGGAGCCCCGGCATGGAGGAGGCGATCACTCGGCATTCGCGACTGCGTCTCCTGGCGCGCAGCTGGCTGAACTCATGACCGCTGAAACGGTCAGCAGCACCCTGCAGGACCTTGCCAGCACATACTCATATTCTGGACCTTTCCATCAGGACCGGCTGGTTCAGCCACAACAAGCACCGTCAGTATCCGCTCTGCCGCCTTTGATCCCAGACAAAGCCGAATTTCTTGATGGCTCTATTGAGGCCATGCGTGATACTTTTCACATGTCAGCTCCCAAGTTTGATCTTGTCGTGTTAGATCCTCCATGGCCAAATCGATCTGCCAGGAGACAGACAGACAAGTATGCTACTGTATCAAATCTCAGGGAGATGCGCAGCCTCTTGCTACACATTCCTCTAGCTTCTCATCTTGCACCAGATGGACTAGTTGCCGTCTGGGTTACTAATAAGCACAGTATTCACGACTTTTTGACTTCCCCCACAGGGCTGTTCGCTGCTTGGGGTCTCGAGTTTGTGACTGAATGGACATGGCTCAAGGTTGCTGCGTCAGGTGAACCACTCTACGACATTGAGTCAATATGGAGGAAGCCATGGGAAAAGCTCATCATAGCGAAGCGCATCGGAAGCCAGAGGCCAGAAGCTCTTGAGTCCAAAGTCATCGTGGCAGTCCCTGATGTCCACTCACGAAAGCCCAATCTGCGAGGCCTCTTTCAAGATGTCATCGGCAAGGAATGTCTTGGCCTCGAGATCTTTGCTCGTAACTTGACTGCTGGTTGGTGGGCTTGGGGAAATGAAGTTTTGCGCTTTCAACAGCCCGAACATTGGCATGACATCGAACCGTGAACCATGAGACAAAGAATATACGAGTTTTCAGCGTCTATATTTGCGCTCATAGTCTTTAACCCGCCTGCATGCATTGCCCATCCAAGACTAGTTACAATAATGTACAATTGTGATGCCCGCTTATCCTACAGAGGTCCATCATCAGTGGCTCCTCATAGAATTGCTGCCTCTTTCATTAGCAGTTTCTTGCAGTTTCAAGTCGTAATTCGCCTTTCGTAGTCGTTTAAGCTTCATTTGAGTCCTTCTTAACCTCTACTTCCTCCTTGTTCAGTATCTTCTCCCATTTAGGATCCAAGATAACATCGTTAGTCCACTTCTCCTCTCCCGATAACAGCTTTTGTGCCATCTTGGCCAACTCTTGTCTCTCCTTCGACGGGAGCTGCTTGCTCTTGAGGGGAATCTCGAATCGCTGTTGCGCGATATGCTGCTGGTTTCGCTTCTCCAACATATCCTCGCGCATCTGGAACAATTGGTTGCTCCAGGGTGTTTTATCCTCGGGAAGTTCGGGCCATTGGAAGGGCTTTGCCAATTCGACAGTCATGACCTTGAGGGGTTTGGGGCGGTACCACGAGCGCGAGTGGGAGTTGCGCTGGGTTAGAGGTTGCTGCTTGACGTATGATCGGACCTTTGTGACCTCGACATTGTATAGGTTCCAGAGGTAATCTCGGAGATCGAACTTTGTGAATCGCAGAGGGACCTGGAAAGTGGCCTCGTTTGGTGGGAGGTGATCTTTTCGGAGAAAGGTGATTACATGGTTTGGCCTAGAGATAGTTGGAATTGGTAGGTAGAGATGGATCAAAGGTACTCACAGAAAAACCTGCTTCTGACCCAGCTTGAAGCCGGGCAATTGGCGAGCTACAGTCTTTGCTACCTCGGCCATGGTTGTCGTCTTGCCCTTTCAAAAGTGGTCGGCGACAGTTGATTTGGGATGTGAAGAAATTCGATGACTGGCTCTGATTGGCTTCAGCGGCGAAAGTGAACTTCCGGGAGGGGTGCGAGGATTGGCGATATTATAGGTGCACGCCCCGCATCCAGCAGTGTAAGAGGGTGAATATCACTTCACTTCACAAGGCCATATTCGTGACTGGAATAAAATATCAGGTATTTTTCACCAAAAGAGGCTCCTTAGAACTTTTATTATTTTCCTACCTATTTGTTATAGCACATTAAGCAAGAAAATATTGACCTGCGCGGAAGTGACGTCTTCCAAACTCACCTGTCTCACGGGTACTCGCAGTGCAACAATTACTCCTTCTCACCAACACAAACCGAAGCCTATTCTTTCTCTCCACAACAAAAACAAAACAACAAGAACATCGATCTTCAGAGCCGCCCTCATGCCCCATAAACACCAAAAATGCAGCAACGCACCAAGTCAAAGCGTTCTTTGAGTCCGACGACTCGGGTCTCACCTCGCAAGAGACTCAACTATGATGCAGACACTCCCAAGATGTCGAGTCCCACAAGCTATGATGAAGATGTTCAGCTCAGTTTCCTGACCATCGACGAAGAAGATGAAGAAGAAGTTACTTGTTCTAACACCATGGAAGAGTTGATGAAGCTGGAAAAGGAGCGATATCCTGGCGCCAGCACCTGGGCTCCCGCTGAAGAGCGACTCTTTGAGATATTGTACATGCGACAGGATCTACCCTTGCTTCCTACAACATGGGATGTCGATCTACGAGGAGTACCCATCTCAGATATTGTCTTCCAAACTTCGGATGAGTTTCCTCCTATCATCTGTGCTCACTCAAATGACTTTCGAGGTATGTTTATCCTAAATGTTATGGAGTACATTGCTCATTATTTGTAGCAACAACCGCCCTTCTTCGTCTCATGGACCTCACAGCAAAGACCAGGACAACCATTCAGAGTGGCCTTCGGATGAAAGTACCGCAGCTCATCAAACGAGAACTCGACAAGTATTTGAGCTGGGCAGCACAGGACGGCGACTACCTGCATCTACGCATTGTTCCGAACATCCTGACAGAAATTGTAGACACGAAAATGCCGGAAGATGAGATCACTGAGCACATCCAGAACCGTATGAGAGCTCTCGCAAAGGTTCAGCGCGAGTTTCTCCGAGAGGATAGAAACCCTCAGTTCTGGGATGTTATCAAGCCCAGTGTATTCGCATCTCCGAAAATCAAACTTGAGCCAGATGATGGGCTGACATCGTTTGGGGGATGGCTGACGCCTGCTGAGAGCCGGCTCGGCTCACATCCTCGAGTTGGAAACGTATCGCCAACCACCGAAACCCATGGAATCACTGTCAAGATTGAACCTGGACTTAAGAGCCCTGGTATCGCGGCAAGAGCACTCCCCAAGACAACGATGCTTTTGAGGGAGTCATGCCATTCACAGTCCCCATCGCCCTCTCTACCCGAAGAACCCCAGACTCCCCCTCGACATACCTACCGTCGTCACCCTCCCGTTGTATACGGCCTGTTCATTATCAACACCTGGGTTCTTGTTCTCACAGTCGATTCATCCAAAGGATCCGACGCCCATGTCAGTTTCCAGGTCCAAGTCGATTTCAAAGATGAACACCAGGGGATCTGGAATGCCCTGACTATCGCTATTGCGGTGTGCCTTGCTCGTGATGAGCTACGTACTCGTGCGAGCGACTTTGAGGAGTTGCCTTGCGTGGAAGATAGTGATCCGGATGCTTGATTTGCAGGATATTTCAATGATGATTACGCTTATTACGAAGGAAGGAATACCATAGTGCATGTTTCACTACTGTTTGTTGCTAATGGGCTTTGAAGTTGTGTTTTATGCCCCTGATTTTATGAACGAGTGTTGACTTGAAGTTTCGTTGTTGCTATCAAGAGGTTTTCATGTACCAATTATTGCGTCCTCGACGACGCCATTCACCTTATCGGAGAATTGCTCGAGTCGTTGAACCAATCATTAAGCAATTTGCCCTATTTGAAAGTCATAAATGTTAAGTCAACAGAGAGCTTCTATGCTTCATGCTCTCATCTCTATTCATGTCCTGATATGTTTGATCAGTCATTCCCTTCTATTCCCAACGCCCAACAATGACGGCCGTCCACAGCCCCAAACGTCTCTTTCTATCTGTACATAAATGTCCATTGCATTTCATCTCATAGAGTTCGCTTCTCTAATGCGCGAGTTATACAGGGTGGGGGTGAAGCGGGGAGGAAACTTTTTTGCGACCGCGCGTGAATAAATGTTCTTAAAATCATAGCAAGCAAGGTAGTTAACGACAAGGTGAGAACAAGGTGTATGTGTATGTGTATGTGTGGAGATTTTTACATTTCTTCTCGTTCGACGGGCATCAGAACCTCAAGCTGTCGGAGGAGTCGCTGGTACAAGAACAGCATGCAGCCACTCTGGATGAATGTCCATACTCCTCGAGGTCCGACACCGCGGAACCATCCTGCAACGCCTTCTGTTCGGTAGATGACCCGTAGTCCTGTGAAGACGGAGGAGGTGTCGAGAGCAATGGCGCCAGGTCGTGGCCGATGTGTGCTGGGAGAAGAGGTGGAAATGTGTCGAACTTGTGAGTTGGCATGATGGTCTTTGGGATGCCGGGACTCAGTTGGTGTGTTGACTTGAGTCTGGAGTCGTGTCTTGACCACGTCGAGGGGACAGGTGATAACACCGGCAAGACCACCGGCTGCAGCACCAGTGAGAAGCTCTAGGGAAACTCCGATATCGCGGCTCTGCTTGTATTTGCGAGCCCAAGTGGTGAACTGTTCCCAGAACATGAACTGCAGAGCTGAGAAGGGCAGATCACGGTAGAGAGTGGCCTTGTAGCCGTAGAACAAGGCGGAGGCGCCTTCTGCGCGCACAATGGTTCGAGCAGCGTCGATAGTACCGCGGTAGTTGTAGCCGGAGGTGAAATGGGGGTTGTTGTAACGGCCTTGAAGCTGGAGGCGTGTCTTGAGAACTTCTGAGGGGACGTAGACGATAGATGCTGCGAGGTCTCCAAGGAAACCTACGAGTTTGTTAGTGCGTGTACTGCTGCTGGATCTCATTAGGGTGCCATACCTGCTGTGAGGTATGAAAGATGCTGTTGCACGCCGTGATCTATCAAGAATCGCTTGCTCCATTCATATGTACCGAAGAACATAACCGTTCCTGGAAATGAACCTCCAAGCGCAGGAATCCATCCACCATAGAGACCCCGTCTTATACCCTCCTGTCTCCATATCGTGTAGTAGGACTGTCCTAGCGATGTGTATCTTGAAGGAACGTGGGGATCGCCCTGTTGTCTCGTCTTAACAGTGTCGAGTGAGTGCATGAGTAGATCGCCAGTAGATCCTCCAATACCACCCGCGATCATGGCCTGTCGTGGGGTCCCATGTTAGCGCACCTGGAAACGAATAGGTCGAGAACGCTTGGCGATGCAAACATAGCACCCTGGTAGTTTCTGACGTACATGAAGATACGGTGGTCGCCCCTCGGCCTCGACATCTTGTGCGGTCATGTTCTGGTCACTGGTCTTGCTTCTACAACTTTCCGAGCGACGACCCGTCCAAGCAGCATGACGATGCTCGGGAGATGGCGCAAAATCGCTCGCCGCAGTCGTTGATCCGTCGTTCGTCGTCGTCGATTGAGCGAAGACGAGGTCAGAATCTTGTTGTTGAAGACCCAAGGGCATAATCCGGGCGAAGCAAGAGATCGAACTCGGACCGTAGGAAACAGTTGGGCGAGTCGAGTCGGTGACGGCACAAGGCGGAAGGCTTCGGAAGCAAAAAAAAAGGAAGACAAGAGGATCCCCAAGAAAGAGAGAAGAACAAGTATTAAAGAGGGATCGCTCTGTCGCGATGTTTCGTCGTTGGCGAGTGGGCGGGTGTCGCAGGGTCACAAAGAATAGATAAGAGCCGAGAGTCTGGGCGATGTCGTTTATGAGAATTTTGATGAAGGAACCTGGTCTTGGCTTTTTACTGGGTTAACTAATCGCGAATTGCGGCTCTAGTTGGCTCTGCTCAGCGGTTTCTTAGTGGCCGATCAGGGACCGCACCTGGATTTACAGCGCATGTACTTTACCTTCTAAAGACTGAGAGCACCCGACGCTAACTACGTCAATGGAAGAATGCCCGATGAAAGAATTTCTTGAAATGACCGAACGGGCTTTCGGTCTGTTATCTTATCTCACCTCATCATACGCCAATTCTGCCCGCCTAAGGTAATGCATAGTGAGTCTTCAGTGAGATCATATGACAATGGCCATTCATTGAACGGGAAATTAATTGTAAAATCGAGTTGATCATAAGGTCTATACATGTCTTCATGAGTTCCGTTTATTACATATAATACATCTCCTCTCATCTCATCTCATATCCTACTCCATCAATGGCCTCTGGTGGTCCCTCCATGGAAGAGCTCCAAACTTGCGAAAAGGAAACACAATATGAGTAACCCGCCCTGTAATCAACTGCTTAGATACGGGTCCGTACGTGTTGCTATCCAGACTCGATCCAGGCGGTCCATCGCCCTCAACCCACACGTGCCCCTGCGGGACTCTCACTGTCGGCAGAGGATGAGGCGCTTTTGTCTTGATCACATCGTTCTCCAGTGCTACTACGCGCTTGACTGCGATTGTCTCGGGATGTAGCGGACTCCTTTTATAACTTTCATGTTAATTCTCATCAATTGCTTATTTCCAGGCTTTGGGAAGGATCTGCTCGTACCGTAATGTCACAACCATGCCCCTCTCCAGATTCTCTTGAGGAGACCACTTCCAGTTGAGAATCACATCTCGTCGTAAAGTCGAGTCTTTGTCGTCGTTAATCAACGGATACATAGATGCACCGTCAACAAAAGTCAGCTCTGCAACGTGCAGGTTGAACATGGCGATGACTGGGATCCATGTTGCGAATCCAAAGAGTCTCAGAGCTGTTGATCTGGCCAGACTGGGCTGGCCATTGCCTCTCAGACGTGCCCACACTGAGCCGAGAGCCATTACAAAGGCTCTAATTATTGTTCAAAAAGAGTGTCGTTAAATAATAACATTCCCGTTGCTGTGAGATTGAGCGTTGTAGTGGGACTATCAGTGTTTGTGAGTCCAAGTATAGAAATTCTACATCCAAGTCTAAGCTTTTATCGGCTAGTTCCGACAACCCGCCATGTAAGGCAGCACGAGACAGGCATTCTTATTCAACATGAAACTTAAGAAGCACAGCTCTAGAAACATCACTAAAGTTATGTCCCACTGAAAACAAGCCAGAAACACACTAATCACAATGGAAAGACGGTGTCTCAAGTAATCAAAGAACTGTTCGTTATCAACGCCGTTTCAGACGCCACTTCCTACCATCGGAAGAACTACATGAAAGTCTGGACTTTTAGTGATGCTTTGCACTCCGGGATACATGCTTCCTTTCAGCCTCCCAGACGCCCTCTATTACACCCTTTTCCGTGTCCAACAACCCGCTCGTGCGCGGGCTACTTTGGCATGGCTCTAACAGTCTTGCCGACTCATCCTGACCTGGAGACTCTTCGTCTGTCCATGACCTAGATGGTCTCAGGGATGTTTTCGTCACTGTCGCTCATGCTCTCGTCACCGCTGACCTCGGCGTTCTCACGCTCACGCTTCTCCATCAATGCTTGCAGCTCCGCATCATCGCTCTCGGTAACGGCCTTGGGCTCCATCTTGACTGTCAAGTTACCACCGGCACCCTCGATGCTCTTTCGGACATCAACGATGGCCTCTCCCAAGCAAGTAATACCAACGTTCTTGTCCAAGGTCGAGCATGTAAGAACGTAGAGAGGCGGAGACACGAGCTTGACCTTGACTTGGGTGTCGTCGGTGCTGTGGGCCTCGGCTGTGCGAAGAGCAGTCTTGACGGCGTCGATTCCCTCGTATCCGAAGCAAGTGACCTCGATATCGGCTCGGATCTTGGTGGGCTGGGGAGTAAGACGCTTTCCGATGTATGACTTGAGCTCCTCCTTGGCCACCTCGTTGGGGAAGGTAATATCGTTCCAGACCTCGGGGTTTCTTCTCAAGGTTAGTAAATGTGGTCCAACTTTGGTAAAGAGCAACTGACGTGATGGAAAGCTTGAAAGCGTCGATAGCATGCCCGAATCGCTTGTTTAGGGGCCAAGCAATGGCCTCATAGAGGCTCTCGATATCGAGCTTGGTCTTCTCGGCGAGATGCACCATGATAGAGTGAACCATCTTGCTCTTGTTGTATCGCTCCTCACACTTGACGATATCCTCGGGGGAGACACGTCGCTTGGAAAGATCGATGTAACCTGCCCAAAAAAATCAATATCCATGCCCAAAGTTCAGCCCGACGTTGATTTGATGCTAACCCTTCTCCTTGTCGACACGGAGCACCACGACGACCTCGTTGCGACCAACCCGGATGAGCTTCTGGATACTTCGAATACGTCTTCGCGAAAGCTCGGAAAGCAGGATCATGCCGTCGATGTTGTCGTACTCTAGAAGCTTAACGTAGGCACCCATTTCGGCGATCTGAAATTGGTCAGAGGCAGTTCTTTCGGACAGATCAGGTTGTTACTGACCTGCTTGACATTGACCATGACGAAGCTGTCGATCTCCGGGTACTTCTCCTCGTAAAAACGGCAATGTTGATTTTGGGCCATCTTGACGGTGTTTTTGAGGTTTCAGAGGATTCGGTCGGGTTCTGTAGAATAAGGTGGGGGGTTTTATAGATGTCGAGTGCCGTCGCACAAGATCGCAAGTCGGGCCTTCAAAAAGAGCCAAAAGTCTAATTTTAATAAGTTATTCCTGCGATAGTATCGGTAGTGATTCTCGCGCGATCAGGTCGTAAATCGTCACGTCAACAGTGGATGTAGAGGGGAAGAGTCATAATTTTGACATTTTGCAAGTGCACTCGATTGATGATGGTGGGGTTGTGGCGGGGTGTGGCTCGTTCCCATGCTCATTCGTTTTCGTTCCATTGGTAGTGGCAGTGGCAGTGGCAGTGGAGGTAGTACCTGAAAATTCGGGCATAATGCCGCCAGCTGCGCTTGAGATGGCCCGCCCATGACTTTCGTTGCCATGATGGGAGCTTTCCACGTGACTGAACCAAAGGTAAACAACTTCATCAACACCAAGCCTGTCGACAAGAGCATACTTAGCCATGGCTCCTGGTAAGTTCCAAACTGCTGTACCTGCGATAAAGTCGCGAATGTTTGCTGATTGATTTCCAGCGACTCAATACGAACTTTCACCGCCCCCAACCGACGCGGTCTCGGCGATCGCGTTTGCGCCGTCTTCTGGAACCAAGCTCCTTGTCTCATCATGGGATAAGAAGGTGTATTGCTATGATATCGCAGGTGGAGCTGGCGAGGCGACTCTCGTCAACACATACGAACACCGGGCGCCAGTCTTGGATGTCTGCTTCGGCGCCAATGATAATGAAGCTTTTACTGCTGGCGTGGATTGGTGTGTTAACAGGTCAGTGGATGCGAATGGATACGCCTCGAAACGTTAAGCTAACAACAATGAACAGAATCGACTTGGAGACTGGTGAGAAGACCCTGCTGAGCAAACATGCTGCGCCGGTGCGGTCTATAGCCTACAGCCCAAAGTTTTGTGAGTCATTGAACCTCTGTGATTGACTCATACTAACAGAAACCAGCGGTCTTGGTCTCCGCGTCTTGGGATTGCAGCTTGAACCTCCATAACCTCAGCGATCCTTCAAGCACCCCAATTAGGGTCTCCCTCCCCGGCAAGCCTCATGCGCTGGCTGCTAGTCCTACGAAGATCGTGGTTGCCATGGCTGGCCGTGTTATCAACATCTACGACCTGAAGACCATTGTCGATCTATTCGCAACTGGTTCATCTGACCTGCAGCCATGGCAACAACGTGAATCGTCTCTGCGATATTTGACACGCGCAGTGTCCTGCATGCCCAATGATGCTGGCTACGCCACTAGCAGTATCGAAGGCCGTGTTGCAGTTGAGTGGTTTGAGGATACAGCCGAGTCCCAGGCCCGAAAGTACGCCTTCAAATGCCATCGACAGGCAGCCCCAGATGGTGACGGTGATATTGTTTATCCCGTAAATGCTCTCGCCTTCCACCCTGTCCATGGAACATTTGCTTCAGGGGGTGGCGATGGCACCGCTGCTTTGTGGGATGCAGAAGCAAAGCGACGACTTAAACAGTACCAGAAATTCCCCAACAGCGTTGCTGCGCTTGCTTTCTCAAGCGACGGGAGATATCTTGCTGTGGGTGTTTGCCCTGGGTTTGAGACTGGACAAGAGGACTACAGCGGTGCCGGACAGACATCGGTATTGATCCGTGAGCTTGGCGAGAATGAAGCCAAGGGCAAGGGAGCTAAATAGGCGACACGCGATGGACAGTCTTGTTATCCCAAAAGGCGTTCTGGTGGTTGCGGGGCTTGATTTTTTATTCTGTACTATTCTCGATCTAAAGGAAGTGGCATCAAGATACCCGTCATGGAGCAGCCTCAAAATAGCGTCGTGAATGGTTGCCCTATTTGTTCTTGGTTCTTTTGCTGCTGACCAGCCACATGTAGGTATCTCTAGACGATTTCAGTGGTCCCAAGCGACGGGCTCCTTGACTTCAAACCTTTGTGGTTCCCCAAGGTTGGTTCGTGTACATTCTCCCGTATCCGAATAACCATTGGTTGGGGATACCCAAGCGATACTTCCTTCACATCAAATCCATCTCGGCATTGATATTCCAGGCTATTGGATGGCAAAGCACATGGCCACGGAGAAGGCCCCGGAAGTTTATAATCTCGAATTCGAACTCCCTTTCTGATTGTATACTGCCCTTTCTTCTCAATCAAACGGGGGGCTCCCTGAGGAACAGGCCGCAACTTTGTGACTACAGGCGACTCAGACGTATGTGTTGTTGTTGGTGATGGAGTACCATGCCGCTGCCGGCTGCGTCTCGCTTGAGTTTCTTTTTGACAGTCATTTTTCTGTTGGAGTGCAAGCGTATCGTGATTGTGTTTACCTGAGAACCGTCGGTCAGGTGTATATTCTGCATCTCCAATAGAACGAATGGACTCCATTCGCCTTCGTTTCGTCGGTCGACATGCTCGAAGAGGTAGCAGCTGCAGTTGACTGGCTCGGCTTTCAACATCGCTTCTCGGGCTATAAAGTAGGGACTGGCTTGTCTGTCGCTGACGAATAGGTGTTTCTGGGATACTCTTGGGAGTCAATACAATGATGCGGAAGATAAGAATGATATGAAGGCACACAATTCAACGTTCGTAAACTCATCCATGGCAGATTCTGGGCTGTCGACATCATCATGCTCTTCCGAACTTGGGAAGGACGTAGAGCTTCGACTTCGACTTCTCTTTCGACTACTGCCAATGGTTTGGTTGGATTCTGTATCATCATCGTCCTCAAGGAGGATTTGGTGCATTGTCACTAACTCGACTTGATGACCGGCAACATGGCTGTCGTCCACCTCTATAGAGGGTAAAATTGTTTGAAAAGACATATTTGAGTGATTTGGTGAATCTTTCGAGGTGGGCTGCCTACGTTTCGTGGTGGTAAAGTCAGGTGCGTCCCGACTGCAGATGGGAAAGAAGGAAGGAGCTACTGCGGTCTGTCCCCTATGGCTCTTTCCTGACACTTTCTGTTTGTTCAGCGCAGGCTTCACCGAACAGCTCCTACCTCTGAACAGCAAATCATTTCGGCAATATCAAGAAAAATCAAGTTCATGTGCTGTTCGTATTTTCCCTTTAAAGTTGCTTTTCAACTTCTGTGTATCTGCCAGTTCTCAAGCAACATAACAATATATTCTAACAGAATAGTCTTGAATTTGCAAAGCAAGTTTGTTCTTTGGTTTTCTGTGCTGGCGATGTCCTCAATAACCTCTTATTCTGAACCCGTGTGCTCACTCTCGTCCCAGTCTAACAAACAAGCAACCCCGTCTGGTTCACCATCGATAAGAAGGCATCACTACAGCACCAATTCTCTCTTTCCAATCCAATTCCATCCAGTCTGATCGAGACCGAGCTGGTAACCATCGCCAAAAGTTCGCTTTGAGGCGGACGCCCTATTCCCCCCGCGCAGCCGGTGAGATGGGCTATAGCAAATCAGCACATGTATTCGTGTGTTGTTATGAGGAACGTACCTTTGGTGGTTGGATGTGGTCAAACGTGCCGCCCATCTGGAGCAGCCAAACGTCTGGACCTCCAAAAGAGTTACCCCCACGATACAGGAAATCGTTAGGAAAGCCCACATCAAATTCAGTAGCCCCATCGATCTCTTGAATATCCTCAGGGGAGAGATTCAGGGTGAGAGCCTGAATGTTGGCTTTGAGATGATCCACCTTTCGACCACCTATGATGGGAAATACATAACTTGTCTTGTGCATGACATATGCCAGTGCGATGCTGGTGATGAGTGTGTTCTTACGGTTAGCGATCGACTCCAGCACTTTACTGGTTCTGATCTCTTTCTCGCTGGCCTCCACTCTTCGTCCTTCCCGCGCATTGCGTTGTTCTTCGGTCTTGAACTTTCCGCCTCCAAGGGAGCCCCACGGCGCAATTCCCATGCCTTCAGCTTGACACATGGGAATGATATCCCGCTCGAAGTCACGGGAGGCCGCCGACCAACGACCTTGGTAAACAGAGAATTGCCGCAGTCCATTGCAGCGAGCATATTCGTTGGCCTTGCTACGGAGTTTTCAGCAAGTTATTCGCTCTTAGAAAGGCACATGGCATCTTACCTCACGATCCAAGCAGGAGTATCGCTGACGCCCAAGTGGAGGACCTTTCCGGAGAGTACGAGTTGGTTGAGAGATTGCATCATCTCTGGGATAGAGGTGTTGCCATCATACCAGTGAACATAGAGCTGAGGCCCTGTTAGCTTAGCATTCTGAGCTTCGCTCGGAAGAAAACACCTACAAGATCAATGTAATCGGTCTGCAGGTTCTTAAGGCTGGCCTCAACTGAAGCCCTCAGACTCTTCGATCCGTTGCCAGTGAAGTTCACCATGATATTAGGAGCACCAGGCCCAGCTCGAAAGTTGGTGGTGTATTTGGTGGCGAGAACTGAGCGCAGGCGTAAGTACAGGACCAAGTGTTGAGTGAGAAGGGGTTACAAACCGATTTCATCCCGGTTGCCGCGCTTCCTCATCCATTCTCCCACCCATTTCTCGGTTTCCTGGAATTGGTAGTTGTTTGCAGAGTCAATAAAATTTCCGCCCTGTTCTTTCATCAGTACATTGTCGACATCTTACATTTGACATATGGTGGTCACACCTGTTCATAGAAGAAATCCAAGATTGACTCCGATGTGGACTGGTCGCATTCTCCCATCCACTCTTTCCTACGATACCGTTAGTAGATAGCAGACATCAATGGATGTGTATCTAACCAAGCATTTCCAAAGTTCATTGTACCAAGACAAATAGGGGACACCCAAACCGATGCAGTTGGTGACAAAAGTCGGTAGCGCCCTAGAGGGCTTTTGGGCGGTGGTGCGAAAGGGAGAGCCATTATGTTTGCGATAGGTTGCTAGTGTTGGTGATAAAGAGGTGTGAAGTTGAGGTGAAAAGATGTAGTGGCAGTGTATTTATAGGGATAATGAGGATGGAGTGGGCAGCGAATGGAGGTGGTGATGATAGTGGCAGCGGCAGCGGCAACGGCAGTGGCGTCACTGCAGAAGAACGATCGATGGTGGCTGAATTTATGTTATCAAATACAAGAGTTGTGAGTATTTCTCAGTTGATAGTAGTGAAGGATTCTCTTCTGACTTTATATATTCAGATCTATCATATGAAAATGGCAGCTCCTACCAATCCCACCTATAGGCACCATTTTGGAACGGACCTTCTGGACTTAAACGGACTTGTCGGACCCGTACTTGCTGAAGAATGCCTGTAACATCTTGTGCGATGCTTCCTAGACGATACTGAAGTTGACTCACCTTCTACGGTACTAACGAGGCGTGTACGGGCATATCCTGCAAGAGTTGATATCCATCCGCACAACGAAAGGGACAAGACCTCTAAACTAGCCTCAGCGAACTCACGTAAATATTCTCATTGGCTTCTCAGAATACACTAAAACAGTGAACTACCTAGATACGTTTAGATCAATATCAGTTCATGCTATTATTCAGCAAAAGCAGTTGTCAAGATGATCGAAACAAGCAGCTGAGAGCTGGAGTTAACGGACTTAGAACATGGGGAAGTGTTCAGGTTGCATGAGGCACACTTTTAGCATCCACTAGATACTAGATATATGGTTCGAGATCGACACTGAACACCTTGATGTGCGAAATTGTGCGAAATTGTGCATCATAAGCATCTTATATCAACGCATCATTGTGTTTTGTTCGAAGTGTCTATCACTTGCGGGGAACGGTCTCAGTACCGTATGGAAAAGCGCAGTGTGAAGGTCTGATACCTGAATGACCTGCCACCCGAAACGTATTGGCCCATTGGAACAACTGTAGATACATGTAATAGTATTAGGAACTAAATAACTGAAATGATAAGTTGCACTGGACATTTATAGAATGAAAATCCCAGTAACAGTAAGACATCAAAACGAGGACGATGACGCCAAAACTGCCTACCCTGGAGCTGAATATGGACAAGGATGCTGACCTAAAATGGGCTGATGCTTCTGGCCATCGTAGCTCTCTCATTGGCCGGAGGTCCCGATTACTCGGCCGGGCGGGTACGTACCTAGCCTCCAATTCGATTGGATCTCACTCGGCCTAGAATCTGTGCATCACACCACGACAATTACTACGAGCGACATACCGAGACGACGAATTGAACATCAACCTACGAACCTGCGATCTCACAAAGCCGATCCGGGGCAGAATTGGTCCGGATCAAGATGACGACCGCCTAGAATGGCCACTCCAAGCCCCGCCCCCTCAAGGGTCGCCGTCAACGCTCTCCGAGGTGTTCTCCTAACAACGTCCTGTTCAGTCATCATCCTTGCTGAAGAACGACGTCGACGACTCAACATCGCTCGAGCTGCTCTCGACAATGCCAAGAAACTTCACACTGCGCGAGTGAACCGCAACTCAGCTGCGCTGGCTGAGAGCTACAGCAGTAGACGAGAAACCTTCCCGATCGAAATTGCCCACGATTTCTCGCACGCACCCACCAACAATGTTGTGCGCCGTCAACGAACAAGGATTGACTCATTAGAGCATGAATTATCGCGCCCGAAGGAGATTGAGCATATAGAGTCTTTTGAGACAACATTGCCTGAGGATGGGGACTCAACAAGTACGCCTCAGAACCGCCAGAAGAGATGGGACGAGTGGGACGCAGCACGAAAGGAGTTATCACGCATATCAGAAAATAGCACATTCTCTCACAACGCCCTTTCAATCAGGTTATCACCGGAGATTAGGCTCTCAACTACATCATCACCAAGGACACGATCAGCCAATTCCAGGACGACCAAGGCCAGAAAGGACGCTAGTACAGGCTCAACAAAAATGTCGACGACGGATAACACCTCAACGACAGGCAACAGACAGGTTGGCATTGCAAAAACAGAGCCGGCCGATGAAACCTCGATAGGACAACCAGAATCGTGGTCACTGCTGGATAATCTCCTGACGGAATTGGAGATCCAAGACTTGCCACGCGATGAGCGTGTCCAGAATGGAATGAGAGCTGCCAAAATGCTTAAGAGTCTGACCTCAACCTCTACACAGAGTAAAGAGGCCCAGGAGGTTTTATCAAGGGGTATCCGGATACTTCAGTCTGCAGCAGTGTCTCGGGAATACGGAACAGTCCCTCTCATACTCGAGGCTGTCCGTCCCGCTTGCAACGATATTTGCCTTCTGGCCGTACCCTTCCTCGACAGTCTTTCCCGCAGCCGCGACGTCGAGGGTGTGAGGCACTTACTGCGAAGTTTGTCTCGCTTTGAGCCACAATCGAAGGAGGCACTGAATACCAATCGCAATGAATGGGTCACTCGGCTACTCATGCATTACTGGAGGAAGACGAAGGACTTCCTGGAGGTCAAAACGATTTATACCTTACTCCAAAAAGGCGGTCTTTTTGACGATAGTGTATTCTCTTTGTCTACTCAGTATGCTGCCAGACGCAGAATTACCCTCATTGCTCTTGATGCTGGTGATGATGCGACTGCAAGTGCAGAGATGTCCCAGCTCCGTGAGATGAGACCGAAGGCCTCGGGTGTCGATGTCAAGCTTCGTGGGAGATTTATTGTACGCGAAGCCGAATTGGGACAATGGGACAAGGTCTCGGCTGGACTTCAGGCTTTCGGACCTAAAGCGAAGCAATCCGACCAGTTTCAGAATGTTCTGTCCTGGCTGACAAAGATCTATTGCAAGGACCACACAACCGCGGAGATGGATATTTTTGTGAGAGATCTTGTCAGCAACCACCACATGAGTTTGAATAAGCCTCTGGCATTCTTTGTCATGGACAGGCACGGCCGAACCCGCAATCTTCAAGCCCTCGTTGCGTGGGTGCAGTTCTGCCAAGATGGTGGCTTGGCAATGGACCAGATTTTCTTCAACGAGATTGCCGACAAGTGCTGCAGATACTGGAACCTGTCGAGAGCTGACGTGATTCGCATGCTGAAGGATGCTCGAACTTCTGCGCCATGGCTGAAGGACCCTCTGTTGACCAGCTACGCTAGTGAAGGCGGCCTGCATGGCCTTCACAAGCCTCTGCCAGGAGAGAAGACAGACAGTTATGGAATTGCCCCAACTCTGCCCGAACGCCGAGGTGATTCAATATCCATCTATGAGCGAGCAGCATTTAAACACATGAACACTTTGGCGCTTGAGAATGACTGGAGCGGTGTTTTCAGCGCCTACAAGGAGGCAACTAAGAAGGGTCTTGGGAATTCATCACGATGCCTTCGACTTGCTGTTGTCGCCAATATTCACTTGGAAGGACCCCATTCTGGCACAGTGGCATGTCTCATTAATGAGGCATACATAAGGAATCACGACATCAGCGGTGCTTTGGTTCCTATGCTGGTCGCTCGACTTGAGGCTGGCGACAACGTGAATGATTTACTCCGCGAGAATCTTGCTAAGGGTCAACACATTCATGACAGTGTATACAACAAAGCTGCTCGTGTTCTCACTCAAAAGGGCAACCCCGAAGCCGCGATCAAAGTCTGCGAAATGGCAGCACAGCAGAATGGTATGGGTGAGCTGGCGTACAACAAGTTCAACTTTGCCAGTCTCATCCATTCCTATACCGGACAAGGGCGTTACAGAGACCTGATGTCACTTATTGCAAGCTTCATATCGAAGTCAGAATGGTGGCAGGGTAGTAAAGAGTGCAAGGAATCCGTCAAGTTAGCTATGAAGCATGTTGCGTCAAGGGCAGCCACGGACCACAGGCGAGAGAACACGCATAAGCAAGTACTATTACGCCTTGACGATGCTCTTGAACATATCAAGACCCTGAGGGCGACGAACAAACAAGAGCGGGAGGCCGTTACCAAGGAGGTTGTTGGAGCTTTCAAGACGGTGGAGGAGCCAGTGGCATTTGAAGGAGGTTTCTTCCCAGACACACAATCTGGGCGGCAGACGCCAAAGGACAAGCGGAATACAGACTGGGAGTTGTCCTCAAGACGAGATTCAACACCACAAGCATTGAGCGAGTCGAGGCACAGGATCGTCGAGGATGAATTGCCTGCTCGACAGCACAAGATAGATAAGATCCGAACAGCACGACACGAGCGGACGAAACGAGAGAGGACGCCCTCGCCTGAGCTTACTGAGGATGAGATATACTTAGAGAAGGAAATAGCTGGTGCAATGGCTTGAGATTAGAGGTTGTATACTTGGAAGACACGGATATGCATTGGCATGGCGTAGACATTATGGTTACAGAAGAGGCATTTGGGTATATCGGCTGGGCTTCTTGGTCACGTTAACTTTTCTTTGTGGCCTGAGAATATGAGCATATGATGGTATCTGTTATGGTACTATCTGCAAAACAAACAATACAAAACAATATCTAAAGAATCTATTTACCTCCTATGGAAATGCTATATGAGTTTCAACGTGCCCCTCTCAGCACATGTCAACTGATAAGCTATGGATGATTCTTTTTCGCATGTGATTCCGTTTCTCTGCTGTGAGATGACTTGATTACAGGTGGGGCTTGGGTTGATAGTGTCACATGCAGCAGCGTATTCGTGTAGAATTGACCCCGTCATCATGAGATTTGGTTAACTGAGGTCATCAACCAGAAACTGATTGGCCACTAGCCGCTAAACAGACGCAGGAACATCAAGTAAGCATCGACCCCAACCAGAGAAACCCTGAGAGTCGCATTCCGAATACGTATTTTCTCTTACTCTCGACGAAGTAATACCGGACTCGGCAGAGGAGAAATTGGTTCGGGCCACGTACGATCTGAATTTCTCTCTCTATGAGACGACGTCTTTCACATGCGAAAAGTCCCGGAACCTGGCGGTGTCCTTTTCGCACATCGAACCATGCCCGCAAGATCTCGTCTTCGGTGGTT